ATCCCTTTGGCTGCAATTAACACACTAAATGTAGGACAGGTCTCTCATAGTGCATCTGTTATTTGCTCCAGATAGTCAAGCAGATGTATTCATTTCTAGACTGAAATTGAATTCAGGATGTTGTATTTACTGAAGTCTTTTTGCATCTACCTATAAGTGGCATGTGGCACGTACATCTGTCTTCGTAGAGAACTTGTATGTATTGCAACTCTTTTAATGCCACTCGTAGGCATTTGGATTTGGATTTGGATTTGATATGATTGTGTGGTATTTTGTTCTTGGATAATAAATTGGATGCATGGGGATCTTCTACATATCTCGTAGGAGCTTTTGTGCTTGCCAATATATATTGCCCTTGCTTGTATGTAATATGCGATGTGTATTGTAGTTCGTTACATACTCTTTATGTTTCACTCATGAATATCCCCTTCACTTTCATCACTTGCAATCTAAGATGCATTTGCTTATGTTTTGATGCTGAGTGATAGTTAACTACGGAGACATTGTGACATGCATTTCCTATTGTTGATTAGCATTTGTAGTTCAGTTATTTGTTATTTGTTCAGGCTTGAATCCGACTATAGTCTCTTGCAATGCATTTAAGCTCCTTGTGCAACTCAAGTTCTAGTCCAGATATTCGTCATTTGATTCAAATCTAGGACTTATGTAAGTCTGCTTGTTGTTTTGTTTAGTTCAAGTGTAAGTGATTGTTCAAGTCTCTTGTACCAAGTTCAAGTTCAAATCAATTTCATGTCCTCTGTAGTTTGTTCGAGTTCAGCTCTTTTTAGTCCATTCAAACTCAAGTCCCTTGAGTCCCCTGTTGTTCTTGAAAGTTTAGGTTCTTGTTCAAGTCCCCAGTGGTCCAACTCAAGTCCTCGCTTGAGTTTAAATGTTTGAATCATGCTCAAGTTTGAGTCCAAGTTCGTTGTCATTTCTTTAATGCCCATTTGAATTCAAATTTGAGTTCAATTGAGTCCGAGTTAGGTCTTTGTTATCATGTTGAATTCTGAATTCTTAATGTATTTCGTTCAAGTTTGGATTTGAGTAGGTCCCTTGCTTATTCGTTGGCTTAAGTTCAAGTTTTAAGTCCAGTTCAAGTTCAAGTGCATGTCTTTTGAGTCCAAATCAGGTTCAAATGTGGTCTTTTGTTCACCCGAAATTTTGGTAACCTCCCGACATCTCCCCCGTTTAGGAGAAAATCCGAGAGACTAGCCTTCCCCTTGTCGCTACTTGAGCGCTTCAGGTAGGTGTCAAATGACACCACGGCCACAAATCCTTCAATCCCTGCCCACTACATGAGCGTTTAAGGGTCTTGGGCACTTGTTAAAAAGTGCACAGGGATTTCCCCACGTATGGGTACTTAGTTTTGTCCCCCTCATGCTACATTATAAGTCCGGGGATTACCCGCCTCGTTGTGAGCAACGCACCGGTTTCCCTTCCTATTATGCTACGTGAACGCGTAGAGGGTTTGTCGGTTCGTTGCAAGTGTAGAGGACATGATTTAAGTTTTAGAAATTATACATTTGCATAGGTTGGAGAGGCGACGATGATGGTGGCGGTGTAAAGCACACAAACATCTTTTTTTTTAAATCCTTTCCTTTTTTGTACACTCTTTTCTCTTTTTTTTTGGAAATAATAATAATAATACATATTAATAAGAGTAATAACGGATAAAAAAAATATGTATATGAAGTATATACCTATATATGGAGTATACAGGTTGAATAGGGTTGGATGGCTTGGGTTAGGTGGATAGGGGTCAGGGAGATGTGGAGTTAGGCTATATGAGATCGAGCTAGGGCTTTGCGTGGGTTTGGCTTCTGGAGTTTGGTTCAACGAGAGGGAGAGGAGGTCAGCACTTGGAGATCGGGATGGGGGCTCTCGCTCGAGTAGAGGAGGCAATAAGGTAGAGAGGGCCTGCGACTATAGGGATCTGGCAGAAGGATCGCATGAGAGGAAAAAGTTGTCTTCACAGCGAGCGAACTCCAGTTGCTTCTTCCGATCAAACTATCATAGCTTCTGATTCGACCTGAAGGGAACGTCGTCGAAGGAGCATAGTCGAACAGCCGCGAAGGAGTCGAGGAACCAGCGAGCTCCCTCTGTTTCTTCCGATCAAGGTGTTGTGACTTCCGACTCAACTGGAAGGGAACACCGTCGGAGGAGCGGAGTCGAGCAGCGACGAAGAAGCTGAAGAAGCTTGCCAGAGGAAGAGGGAAGAGAGAGCGAGAGAGAGGAGGCCAAAGGACTGGTTCCATTGGCCTTTTATCGACACGAAATACGTCGTGCGGAGCCTTACCTTCGACGTGCGAGGGATGTGCTTCAGAGTAGCTCTTGACGTGCGACATGTGAAGAGAGACGTGGTGGCAGGTACTGGATATTTTATTTTTTTTGTTTTTGTTTCAGCATTGCAGGTCAACAGCTACAACATAGACTCAATTCCCCATAGGGGTAAAACAGAAAAACTCAAATGCAACATAAAACGTAAAACAGAAAATACATCAAAAATACAATCTCTGAATCGTAGTCGTCGATCCACGACTACGTCGACGATACACATGTCGAAATCTCTGAATGATGTCCTCATCATATAAGCTTCTAAAGGCTAGTCAAATTTGAATTTATTCATTTTTAATCTACACAATATTCTCTAAACATTAAGTTCAATCATCAAGCACATTTGTCAAAGCAAAGGTAGATGCGTTTACTTCAGATGGGCTTACACGATCTTTTGAGGCATTGTGATTGGGTTGAAAGTTGACTCATGATGCTTGTAGAGGACTTACTATCTAGATTTAAATGTTGGCATGAATGTTTCATCATTATCATGCATGCAAATTTTCATCGAGTTTTTAAGTATCACATTATGTCAGCTTGCAAGTCGATATTGTGCATCCGTATGCGAGTGTTAGAAGTTACATTGTTGTTGTACATTTGAAGTAACGTTGGTTGCTTACATTTGATCACTAGTGTTAAATTCTGAATATTCAATGATAAGGTTTTGTTTAAAAAAAAATTTAAAAAAAATGATAAGGTTTTGTTTCAGGTTTGATTTCTATCCATTGGTGAGCTATCGAGTCCCTTGTTGTCATAGGCGAGTAAGTGACATTTTTTATCATATTTAAATGAGAACTTAACTTTTAAAGATAATAGAGAAAAATAATTCACATAAACGGACCCACTTAGTGGGTTAAAGGTTTTTTTTGTTTTTGTTAGTTGTTGTAAACCTCTTCAGGTTTGAATTTCAACAACCTCAGGATGTCTCCCAAGCTTAAGAGGTATCTACATAAAGTGTTAGGTCTGTCCTTAACGCTTAAAAAAGCATTCACGGTCGATGTTCTAAGATACAGCAAAAATGAGTCTTCAAACTTACCACTTAAAAGGTGCATAGGCATTTGTATACTTACATAGGAAAAAAGGCATAAGAGGATTTTCCTGCCACATTAGAACTACGTCTATGAGTACTTACATTCAAATTTTCACGTTCTGCTGGAACATCGAATGATTATACCAATGGTAATGATAGAAAAATAATCTTTGTAAACAATATAGTTCCTATCCATCTTTCTGTACACAAGTACATCTCTAAGCATGTATTGAGACAGAGTTGGCTTTAGATCAAGCTTAATAAAAAAAACTGACTTCACAATCCATTAAACTTTGATTAAAGGAATTCAAATTGCAAATTAAGACCACTGAAATTGCTATACACTACAAGCCGATAGAACTAAATTCATAAAATTTGCAAATTGTTCGGTCAGGCATCAAGCTAAAGAAAGATCAACTGGCATACAGGTAATGATACCAAGAATGCCTAAGGTGAATTAAAATTTGAATATTGTTAGGAAGTACTTGAAGATCTCAAGTATGACCTAATTATTTTGGAGAAAGCAGCGAGAAGTTCCCACAAATTCAATGGGAAACCAAAAAAATAGTAGTTTCTATTGCAATAATCAAGATTCAACTGAATATTCTCAGCCAAAGCACATACGAGTGACTAACTAGTCAACAAAATCCCCAAAACTCACATGTAGATAGGCAACGAGCTTGTAAAGAAGATACAAGGCTGCCTCATGGGGGCCCATGCGAGAGTAGACATAGGCAAACATATAGCATACGGGATCCATATGCTGCAAAGAAAACAATGAAGATACAGGCATAGAAAGCTCACTAGAGCACATGAAGCCACAAAATCGACCATCCAGAGGACTTACCAAACAATAGCAAACCAATTAAAAGTTCATCAACACAAAAGCTCAGTTGAGGACCAATAAGAGTAAACCAGAGGGAACCATAGCGCCTATGGAAAAGCAAAAAGAATAACCACAAAGAACCATGGCTACAGAGAAGCAACGACTTGCTAAGCCAACAGAATATCAAACTAGGGAAGAGAACAATCTGTACTCCACAGAAATCACCACAGGCATGTTTTAAACTACTACTACAACAACAACAACATCAAGCCTTTATCCCACCATGTGGGGTTGGCAATGTTTTAAACTACTAAAATTAAAATTTAAAAATCTAAATAAAAAAACTCCTGATATTAGATGAACTAAAATAAAATCAAACTCAAAAAGTCAATTTGCATAAATGTAGACTATGTATATGAAAGATCCACAATAGTTGAAGCATCCCAATTCCGTAATTATGGATTTCCAAATATTTTGTCCCTGCATAACCCTAACAGTGAACATAAGGTCAAACGTTCTGCCTCTACTCGGAAACTTAAAAACCAAAATGTAAAATATACTGAAAAAGAAATATATGGTTCCCCAATTAATTAAAACATTAAATTTATGACCGTTTCAAAGCATGTTGTACTCCAAAATAAGAATATTAAATACAATTTCGATTCTATAACAATGCAGTGCTGGTTTTTTATTTATCAGGATGTCAAAAATTTTCATAAGAACTGCGTTTTCTTCAAGGGTGTAGGAAAACACACTCACGATCAAATTAAATAAAACAGTATGCAATCTGAGTTTGGCAATGCTTCTTACCTCCATTACAGGGAATGGTATCCAAGCATGGCACATCTTCGCCTCTAATGAATATTGCAAAACAGAAAGATGTCAAAATAAATTTCCAAGTCAAAGCTTTTCAAACTTACATGGGTAAAATTCCCAAAGTATCCTGAAAGCAAATAAAGCTATGGCCTTGTTGAAATAGATGCTTACTGATTATCGTCACTGTATGAGCTCCCCACCAGGTTGCTAAAGTGAATCAAAATAACGGTTGTCTAATCGTTAAATAATATGTAACTATGGAAAGCGTGGACAAAAACTCAAACTAAAAAATCTTACACATTTCCTTTTTGACATCCTTGGCCAGGACCTTCGATAGTGAAATTGTTATAAGAAAGATCACTGCAATAGAAAATAGACAGATGGGTAAAAATAAAAAAATTCAAAGTTTTAACGTTGCTAGAGGTAATGAAAGTTGATTTGAATATGCTAAGAAAAATAGTATCATTTAAGTTAAGCATAATAAATCTTTCCACGACTTGTGGTGATTATTTCCCTCATAAATATGGGTATTTTTAAGATAATTATTTATATTCTGTTGAAAGTAGATTTTGAAAGAAATGAGGATGATGTAGTTGTTGTTGTTGTGGGATAAAGGCTTGATGTTGTTGTTGTTGTTGTTGTTGAAAGTAGATTTTGATTTTAAAGTTTGGTGTTTGACTTGGTCAAAGCCCAAGTCCGGGTTTAATCAAATTATTCATAAATCAATGCTGAAAGAAAATTATGTGTCATCCTAATCTCTCTTGATCAAATAGAGCTTATAAACTTGCTAAGCGATGCTCCGTATTAGCCTCCTGGAAGATTCTCATGCTCTGAATATTAATCAACTTTCATCTGAGTTAGTGACTTCCCTTGTTGCTGATGGTTAGTTGGATACTCCTTGCCCATCTCTTGTATCATCAATTATGGATGTTGGGACCTTTCATATTTCAAGATCCATGCATGAGTTAAATATATGTCAACCTATTGAGGGTCACCCTATTACTCATACTATTCCTTCCCCAAATGAAATCACGATTATGTTCATCAATACTACATATGATTGCCTGAAATGAGGATGGTTGATGATTCAAGTTCGGTCCAAGTCAAAAAATTTTACCAGAAGTTTATCTGGTTTAGTAGATAAAAAATTTCAACCTGTTTTCTCTCATTAAGGCACTAAGAATTTTCCTCTCCATTCTCCGACATTTACTAGATTCCAAGATAGACATAATAACTCTCCTTATTATTTTGGCATTTCAGAATGTCATGTTTTTACTAGACACTTGCAAAAGGATGTACCATGGTGTATGTTTTTGCTGATGATATTCTTCTTGTTGATAAAACTAGAGGAGTTGAAGTAAAACTTGAATTATGGTCCTCAATAGTCAAAAGGTTTTCATTTGAGTAGATCAAAATCGAATACATGGAATGTAATTTTAGCGCTAATAGATCTAGTGGGGGGATTGTGACTTTGGGTGATTAAATCATTAAAAAGATTACACGTTTTAGATATCTCGGGTCTATTGTTCAAAGTAATGGTGAGATAGATGAGGATATTATTAGGAGAATTCAAGTTGGATGGTTAAAATGAAAGAAAGCATTGGGCCTATTGTGTGATAGAAAAGTCCCCCTCAACCTATGGGAAAATTTTATAAGATGGTAGTGAGACCTATAATGTTGTATGGCACAAAATATTGGCCATTAAAAGAGAAGCACAAAATTAAGTCAAGTGTTGTAGAAATGAGGATGATGTAGAGCTACATGCACAGGTAAATGTATTAACTTTGAAACTACACGCTTTGTAGCATATCAATAGCAGTTATTCAACTTCCAATGGATTAAACAATAGATTGAAAACAATAAAGCAATTATTAGGCGTAGGCAATTGATCACAAGATAAAATTCGAAGCACAAAATAATCAAAATAAATCCAACTTTGCTAAATGTGGGGGTTTTAAAAAAATTCCTTGATTAACAATAAGACTAGTCACTATTAAGATCCCTCACACATACTCATCATATGGCTAAGCAGAGAAGCTTTCAAAAAATTTTAACAATGCAATGATCGAGGGGAGGTTAGAAGGAGAAAGGGTCGGAAGAGAGTTCACCTTCACCAAGTTTTTTATCTTGAAGTGGAATTCTGTCAAGCTCCTGAACTTGTGCTCCAATTAGGGGTGTAAGTAAGCCGAGCCGGCTCGTGAGCCGGCTCGAACTCGACTCGTTAACGAGATTTTCACCAGTGGTTTGCCTTGGGACAAGCACTCTTTGTTGTTGTTGAAGGGTTGCAATGCTCAAGGAATTGAATGTAGTTGTTCAAGGGAGGAGGATCTACTTCTTCTTGCTTAAGTGTTATATCAAGCATAAGAGAAGAAGTATATAGAGAAGGGGTTAAGTGGTAGGCCTTAGAGGAGGGAGAGTGGAAATTAATTTCAGATTTTGCGCATTGTTTAAGGAAGGGAAGCAATTTCCAAAACCTGAAATTTAATTCCAGCTCTAATTGGTGGAGATGAGTGGGAAATTTGAATTCAAATTTCAAAAAAAAAGGAAGGCCATTGGGGGGCAATTAGATGGGAAATTGATGGATTGATTGGGGAGCTTTAATGGACCTCATCATTAGATGAGAGAGAGAGAGAGGAGGGAGCGGCCAAGAGAGGAAGGGGAGGGCCCACATGATTTAATGTAGATTTGAGGAATTAATGAGCTTAAATGAGTTGCCAATCTAAGCCAAATTAAATTAAGAAAGAGAATTTAATACAATTATCTCTCTAATTAAAATTCAAATTTAAATGGCCTTGATTGGGGGAACCTTCCTAAAATAACTCATCTTATTTAAGGAAGGAATTTCAAATTCGAATTTTAATTAATTGACCTTCCAAATTTACAATGAGATAATTTAGGAAATTGGTAAATGCTTGGATAAATTTGGATCCAAGGAGAGGGTTGATGGGGCCGGCAGCTTAGGGAAGGGAGGTGGGGTCGGCGGTTAGATGGGGGTTGGCCTAGGGCGTGGGGTAGAGTTCGGCCAAGGGAGGAAGGGGAAAGGTGGGGGTCGGCTTAGGGTTTGGGTGGGGAATTTCGACCAAGGGAAAAAGAAAGGAGGATGGGGTGGTGGCTAGGAGAAAGAAGGAGAAGAAGTTGATGGAGGAGATGGTTCACGTGCCTGGACGCTTCTTGCAGCGGATGGGTAATATATTGCCGTCACCTAGAGACTTCAACTCTCACAAGAACTCTCAATCTCTCAAACACAAAGTGCAAAATTTTTCTTCTCATAATAATCATCATCCTCCAAAGAGGAGAAAGGGGGATATAAATAGCCAAAATATAATAACAACTCTAAAGATGAAAGTGCCCCGTGAGGTCACATGAAATTACTCCCTCAAGTGAGGGTAATAACAAAAAAATACATAAATAAATCAAATACAAATAATAACTCAAAAATAAAGCGGTCCAATCATGGTCGCAAATCTTCGGACTCTTCTCTGATAAACTTTCCACAGTCGGATGTCCTCATCATTCTCCTGGGGTGGAAAAGAGCTCCACTCCGTTGAGTACGCATCCCATGTGCTCTCATAAATCTCTAGTGCATCTAAATCAATCCATCGAAGCTCCTCGCGCTCTAGCCAAGTGTTTTATGACTCTGGCTTATCTCTCTACCTTACCAAATACCTTCGTCCACCATCTTTCATGGAAATGATGTCATCATTTAAAATCATGTCAATTTTCTCCTCAATAGGTGTTTTGGAAATATTTGGAAGTGGAGGACGGCTTCGGTTCTCACGAGGTTGGGTCACACAATGCTCAATTTTTAGTAGATTTGGTGGGTTAAATTATAGACCCTCATAGGATACTAAATCTTCTATGTTAAAAGGGAGATTAATATTGAAACCTGCAAGCAGATCCACCACATAGGCATTGTCGTTGATTTTCTTGATTATTTTAAATGGTCTCGCACTTTTAGCATGTAATTTTTTAACGTCCCCTTTCGGAAACCAATCCGGACGAATACGGATTATTACCAAATCACCAACTTCGAATGTCTTGAATTTTCGTTTAATATCAACGTGAGTTTATAATTTGCATTGCTCTGTTCAATTCGGCGTGCAGTTTCTTTATGTAATTCATGCAAATACAATGCAAATGAAGATGCAGACTCAAAAATTCTATATTTAGGGCACATGTATATGAGATCTAAAGGATGTTTAAGCTTGTACCCATATATAACTTCAGCAGGACTCAAACTAGTGGTGCGGTTCAAAAAATTGTAATAAGCAAATTCAGTCGTGGGGAGTTTGGAATCCCAGACTTTAATATGCTCACCCACTAAGGATCTCAACAAGTTACCTAAACTCCTATTGACCACCTTAGTTTGACCATCCGTTTGAGGATGAAAGGTTGTGAAAAATTGTAATTTGATGTTCATTTTCATCCAGAGAGTCATCCATAAGTAACTTGTGAAATTGACATCCCTATCAGATATAATGGCCTTGAATAAACCATGTAATCTGACGACATCATTAAAGTACAGTTTAGCAATAAGGGAGGCATAAGATGTTTTAGAACAGAGTATGAAATGTGCCATCTTGGAGAAGCGGTCAACTACAACACATATGGCATCATTCCTACGAAAAGATTTGGGCAGGCCAAGAACAAAGTCCATGCTAACATCTTGCCATGGATAACTGTGAACTGGTAAAGGGGTGTAGAGACCTATGTTCTTCTTTCGTTATTTGGCTAGTAGACAAGTATGACATATGCTGACCATTTTACCCGCATCTTTCTTTAGACTAAGCTAAAAAAAAGGGTACTCTACAGCCTCAATAGTTTTATCACGACCAAAGTGTCCGACAAAGCCTCCAGCGTGAAGTTCCCAAACGAGAAATTACCTAAGGGAAGTACTCGAAATGCAAAGCTTCTGGACTTTGAAAATGTATCCATCTTCAAGAAGAAAATCATCCACAAGACGTGTGCTGCCTGTGGACAAAAGGGAGCATATCTCCTTGAAGTCGGGGCATTCCAAGTAGTCCTCTTTGACATTCTCAAACCCAACTACTTCTGCTCTCATTTTAGTGGTAGTCATCATACGACGGTTGAGAGCATCAGCAGCTTTATTCTCAACTCCCGCTTTGTCCCTAAGGGTGTAAGTGTACTCCTGTAAGAAATTTACCCATCGTCCATGGCGTGCATTCAATTTTTCTGGGAGTTGATATAACGAAGAGCCTTGTGATCCGAAAAAATGACAAACTCCTACGGGAGCAGGTAGTGTCGCCAATATCGTAGGGACAAAATCAATGCGTAAAACTCTTTGTCATACGTGAAATAGAGCTGCCATATGTCATTTAACTTTTCACCGAAGTAGGTGGCCTTCCTAGGACAGCACTCCTCCAATTCCTACCCTTGAAGCATCATAGGTAACTTCAAAGACCTTGGAGAAGTCAGGAAGTCTCATCACTGAGGCTTCCACCATTGTTTTTTTTTTTTATCTCCTCAAAAGCTCTGGTGGCCGTCGGGGTGCAGTGAAAGTCCTCTTTCTTTAGGCAATTAGTGATAGAAGAAACAATGGAGCTAAAGTTTTTAATGAATCTTCTATAGAAGGTGGCTAAGCTGTGGAAGCTGCGGACTTCCCAGATGTTCTGAGGAACGGACCATTCAAGTATGGTCCTCACCTTCTCAGAGTCTGCAGAGACCCCTTGGGCTGACACAATAAAGCCCAGAAAAATTATGCAGTTAACAAGAAAGGTGCATTTCTTAGGATTAGCATAAAGTTGCTCCTTCCTGAAGACCTCACAAACATGCCTCAAGTGGTCTAAGTGTTGGTTCAAGGATTGGTTATAGATAAGAATGTCGTCGAAGTAGACAACGACAAACTTACCCATTAAATGACGCATCACTTGGTTCATGACTCTCATAAATGTGCTCGGGCATTACTCAACCTGAAAGGCATTATCACCCACTGGTACAAACCATCCTTGGTCTTAAAGGCTGTCTTCCACTCATCACCAGGTCGGATCTGGATCTGGTGGTACCCACTCTTAAGGTCAATTTTGGAGAAAAGCATGCCTCATATCATCATGTCAAGCATATCGTCAAATATCGGGATGGGAAAATTATATTTACAGTGATTTTGTTGATGGCACAGCTATCAACGCACATTCTCCAAGTACCATCCTACATCGGTGTAAGAAGGGCAAGTACAACACAGGTGTTGAGGCTTTCTTTTATGTAGACCCATTGTAGTAACTCATCCACCTATTTCTTTAGTTCAGCATGTTCCGTGGGTTCATGTGGTAGTATGGCAGGTTGGGAAGAGAGGCTCCGGGGACAAGGTCAATAGTATATTGAATGTCTCTTAGTGGAGGTAGTTGATCAGGGAGATCATCGGAGAAGACATTAGCAAAGTCACTCAATATGGATTGGACCTCCTGAGGAATAGGATCATCAAACTCAGAGGAAGTCTCTCGGCCAACCAAGGCGTACAGGGGTGCGCCTTGTGTCATTTCAGACTACAAGACCTTGGCTGTCACAAGGTTTAGCCCCTTCTTGGGCTTAACTGGATTTGGTTTGGGGTCATCTCTAACCCTGGGCTGTGTAGGAAGCAACTTGATCTTCTTGCCCGCATATTCAAACACAGGTGTTCGAATGTCCATAGATGTGGACATCATTATAAAAGAGCCAGGGACGCCCTAGAATGATCTGTCCAACATCCATTATCAGAACATCACACCACACATTCTCCTTATAGTCAGCGAAGGAGATAGGTATGAGGCTCCGCTCCTTCACCTCTAAGGCTGCGGAGTTGACCCAAGCTACCTTTTAGGGATTAGGATAAGGAACGACAGACAAACTAAGTCTAAACACCATGCTGGAGGAGACAGCATTGATGCAACTACCACTATCCATGATGACTTTACAATTCTTGTCATTTATTTCGGTGTAGGTGTGAAAAATCGGTCCTACGCCAGTCATCAGTGGTAACAAGGTGTGACAGTGCACATTTCATCACGTAGATGGGAGAGGTCGACCTTTTGTAAAAAGTGGACGAAAGCAGTGTCGTCGTCCTCCTCAAAGAATTCACCTTCATCATCGAACTGGTGATTTGTTCAGCCTCGGGTTCAAACTCATCCTCAGTAACTTCTTCAATAATAGTGACTTTGTAAGGACTAGAACACTGGGAAGAGATATGCTCATACCCCTAACCAAGGTTTAAAATTGCGTATTCGGGTATTGAGGCGTTTTTCGTTCGTGAGGCGAGGCGTAAGCCTCAAGGCGATTTGAGGCGTAAGCCTCAAAATCAAAATTGGGTACATATATATATATATATATATATATTTCACATGTTCATATACAATCATACCGTCATAATAATTTAAGGCCAAATTTTCCTCATTCATTGTACATTTGAATTGACATCATTTTATATTTAATAGCATTAAATATAAAATAAACAATTATATAAGGCATTACTTTTAGAATTGAAATAAAAAAATAAAATAATGAATTTACTATAACAACTATAATTTACGCACTTGGTCAAATTTTGTTCTTCAATTTCATTCTCAATCTCAAGATTGATATAGACTTCAAATTACTCTTCTCAGTTCAGTTATGAAAATCTTTCACCATTCAAATTACATAATAATGTCTTAATTAATACTAAATTTGAATGCCTTAAATATCATCAGAAGTAATCTGTTAGACCGGTCCAGCCGGTCCGCACGAAACCGGTAGTTCGCGAAATGTCGCGTGATCTCCGCCTCCTGCGGAGATCGGGTTTGAGTATCTTGAATTTGACTGAAATTTGATATAGACTTCAACTTACGGTTCTCAAGATTGATATAGACTTCAAATTACTCTTCTCAATTCAGTTATGAAAATCTTTCACCATTCAAATTACATAATAATGTCTTAATTAATACTAAATTTGAATGCCTTAAATATCATCAGAAGTAATCTGTTAGACCGGTCCAGCCGGTCCGCACGAAACCGGTAGTTCGCGAAATGTCGCGTGATCTCCGCCTCCTGCGAAGATCGGGCGGGCCGACAGCTCAAACGGAGCGTTTTAGGAAGGATTTTTGGGGGGTTTCAGAGAGAAATTTGAATGTAGGGACTGTTTAGGGAATTCCTTTT